AAATCTAGCGATGTCTCCAGGAATCTATTCTAACACAGTCACCGTATGGATGGACGGACCAGAGTGACCCACAGGTCCAGATGATGTCCTGTCACTGGTCACACACACACAAACACACACAAAGGCAGAAAATAGCTCATGATCCAGCGGTCAACTGGACCAGGTTGCCAGAGGTCAGTAAATGTCAAAAGTATCAATTTTTTTTTAAGCCGTCAAATATATAGAAAAAAGTCGACCAATCAAATCAAAATCATTTGACTCATGGACAGAAGTTGAAGTGAAATCTTTTAAAAGAACATATTGGAGAAAAAGTCAAACTGAAATCTTAATGCACTTCCCTTCCTGCCCCATAGAGGGACCCGCCCCCCAGTTTGGGAACCATTAGGATTATTAGTCAATTTATATTCATCTAAAATACACCTGAACACTGATAAATAAAATATTTGTTAAGTTTTGATTTTTCTTCTTCTAAAACCTAGACATATATAGATATGACCTTTAACCCCATGTCCATCACGTGTAATGTTCTCCTCAGATCAGATCTTTGTCTTTTTTCATTTCAGCCGTTGAACAGTTTTGTCATCATTCTGCTGCAGGTCCCAGGAGAAGATAAGAGTTTTCATAAAAACCACATCTCTGGATCAGCGTTGATAAAAAAAAAACTCTTCTTCACGGAGACGCTGGTTTCAAACAGAGGTTATGGATCAGCGTTGATAAAAAAAAAAAAAACTCCTCTTCACGGAGACGCTGGTTTCAAACAGAGGTTATTGGAGTGATCAAGTGTGTGTGTGTGTGTGTGTGTGTGTGAACCTTCATTCTTCTAAAGCATATCCACTGTTTTAAAAACACAGCGGACACCCTAGATACGACCTTCCTGAAACACGAGTATTATATCCATTGTTACAAATCTGCAACTATTGCAACTATTTTGCTCCTGATACGAGGAAATATCAAGTTACGAGTCCTCCACCGCGCTCCATCAATCTGGATATGAGTGGATCGAGACTCGAGTGCAGTATCTATTTTGTCCACTGTTTATAATGTCAGAAAATAACGACCAAACACCACATGAGTGAACATTTGGTTTAGAAGTTTCTACAAACACATGTGAAACGTTGAATATTTCAGTCAGGGCGCTGATCTCAGACAGATCACAGAGGGAGCGGCGTCGTCCGACCACGCTGACGGCTCGCCACTTATTCTATTAGCGTGAGCTTCACTATAAGCCCTTTGGACACAGAGGTCACGGAGCATTAGGGCACGCTGGGAACCTCCTCCGTGGGGTGAAAGGAGCTCCGTCTTTACTCTGAGAATCAGATTCACTTTTATCACCGTCTGATTGGCTCAGAGCTGTAGAGGAAATCAAATTAAAAAAAATAAAGATTTTCAGATCATCCATCGTCTTATTGACAGTCAGACAGATGTGGTTCTGTCGGCCGGACAGAGTGAATAAGATCAACGATGACATTTGACTCTTTCTTTTAGCTGCTCTGAACCAAAGGTGTTGAATCTGAGCCAATGACGTTCTGGATATTTCTGGATATTTCTGGATATTTTCCAACCTGTGACTAAAGGCTTTAAATGAGCAAAATGACAAACTCTCTGCCCCTAAACTCAAAGGTCAAACACTCAGCCGCTGTCAGTGAAAAGACCTGTCACTGGAACCAGGTTAGTGACTCACACTGTAGCTCCAGGCTCTGGAGAAAAAAAAAAACCCCAGCAGGGATGGAACAAAAAACCTGAGTCGCTCCACTCTGGTTCTGTAATCATCACCAAACATCACAGGACGATTAGGTGGAAAATAAACCAAAAACAAAACAAAACAAAAAACACGGCGTCACTACTTAGCAGAGCTATGAGTAAATGTTAAGGAGTGGGTGACATTTTCATTCATTGGTCAGTGTGGTGGGTCATGTGATGTTTGCTGGACTTCTTACCTCCTCAACCAGAGCCAGCATACGACGAGTGCTCTCCAGAGACTGCAGGAGAAAAGAGAGCTGATTAGCTGAGAGTTCAGACCAGGGAAACAATCATCACACATATGTCTGTGTCTCTGTGTGTGGATGAAAAAAAAAAAAAAAAAATTAGCCCTGTAAACCAAGATAGTTTTCCTGCAGTGCTCCCCCATGTGGAGATCCAGTGTCCCCCACCCACGTCATTACAAAACATTCAACAAATAAAATAAAATAAAAAAGACTATGGAACAAGAAAAATATTTTTCCTCTAAAGGGGTCTGGCCCCTCACTT